AGTGGTCCGGCAGACGCACTACGTCACCCGAGTCCACCGCATCCCCGAGCCGGTGCCACGACCGGTGCCAGTGCCCGAGAAGCACGCGCCTCGCCAGGAATGGACCGGGCTGGTTGGTTTGTGTTGCCAGCCCTCGTTTCCACTATGTGGCTTACAAAAAGGCCTTGTTGGGATCATGTGTGGCCTCCCAACTCTTGAATGGTGTGAGCACTGTGATCGTTCACCTTGCGGTTGCGAAGCTTTCCGCATGTTTCCTTCCGGCCATGGAATGTTTCAAAGGGACCCCTCTGACTTTGTTTAGATCCGACATACCAGAGAAGGGGGTATTCCCAGCTGGCCATCTGAAGATATTGGCTGGAGACAGTTTCCCCAGATCTGAGGTGGTGTTGCACCATGTGTATGTACCAGACAGGCCCTTCGACTGTGAGGCATGGTTCGCCTGCCGGGGCGTACTTGCAACTGAGCGGTTTGCAGCCACTTGTTGCAAATGGGCTTTGTGCAGATGCTTGTGTCACACTTCCGGCCAGAACATGGCACTGGACAACTTGCACTCATGGCATGACTTTGCTTGACCGCTATTGGGTTGGATCTTTAGACTTTGACTTTTAGGAAATAGAGGTGTTTTCCACTAAACCCCCAAAAAGTTAAACTTTTGCAGGGGGTTCAACAGCAACCCAGTCTGATCGCATGTTGGTGAGGGATGTGGAACCAGATGGAACCTGTCCATTTGCCAGGCTGGCTACGGGGATTGGCAGCACCAGTGGAACACCAAGCAGCAGCGCTACTGCTGCTTCCTCGTGAAGCGTGCCTGCCCGGTGAAGGCCGGAAGAGAAACTGTGAGAAAGTGCGTGGCCAGAATTCCATCATTTTTGTGTCGTTTTAGCGATCTGATTTTTCTTACCCACATAAAGGACATAATTCCATCAAGGTGAATTTTATAACGACCTCACACGACCGAATTCACCCCAAATGATGGTTTGTGTGGGGAAGATCCCCCCAACCACCTTATTTATCCTTATTTCAGGTTGGTGAAATATTATAATTCACCCAGATTCCATCATTTTTATGTGTCTTTTTCGTCATTTGATTTACCTACCCACATAAAGGACATTGTGCCATCTACTGTCATCCTGGCTTAAAAGTTGGTCGGAGGAATCACCAGGTATTGTTGACGGCCGGGCTCGTTCAAGTGATTGTCGGCTTAAGCCTCGCAAGCGAGGTGATCAAATTATATACGTTCCGTGTCAGGGCTCAAGCGCCTCAAGCGCAGTCTTCCCAAATCTCCTTAGTATTTTCATGCCTATTAGCGAGGTGGATCTGAGACAGCCATACCTGGCCATGGTCCCAAGCAGCAATCGCATCCATGGGCTATGTTTGGTTTGGACGACAGTAGGTTGTCCTGGCACAATTTCCCAGAGCAATTCCATTTTTGCATTAGTGCGTTCTCAACTCAGCCCTGTTGTTTGCCCATTTCAAGATTCTAGCAATGGTTTGCCTCGCAAGAGTGCCAGTAGTCGATCGGTAATGTCATGGAATACTCTGCCCCCCCGCGTGGGAAGGCCATGGATTACGCAATTGCAAACGCTTCGCGCTGCCCGCCTCGGCCAGTACGTATTATTTTAGCTGATTTTGACGCACTGTGTCTTGGTATGTCTTGAAGTGCTGATTTTTCGAGGGAGTGAGTCGGCGCCGAACCGCGTGAGCTGGGTTCCCAGATATATTATGATATATTATACCTAGGATCTGCATTGTGTGTAAAAAAATTGTTTTTCGGAAACAATTGCTATTGCACTTCTGCAAGCGCTTTTTTGCAATCATGGAATCTTGGACAATCCTGGAAATCTGCACTCGCGAGTGTTTGGCGAAAAAGCGGATTTTGCCGGTCAAAAAGCGGATTTTCCTACCTTTGAATACTTTGCAGGTTCCAGGAAGATTATGGAAGGAAGCAATGCTCCCAAGAAGCACTTTTGAATCGAAACGGCGGATTTGAAATGAAACGACGGATACTTGTTCTTTTTCAGCAAAACGGCAACCACTTTCACACATCAGATGTTTCTTGGTACGGTGGGTGCAGGTTTGCGCGTTTCCACATGGTTTGGAGGGCTAGGACGCGAGCCGCGGTCTAAGGGCCCACAGCCTGAAACCGGGGCTGGGGCTGCCGCCCTCGAAGCCACGCATTCTCAGACCGGAGCCAAGCGAAGCCTTGCTGGTGGTTGGGTCTGTGGCGATGGTTGGCGAAGGCGAGGAGCAAGGGGCTGTGGCTTTGAAGGAAGGCCAGCCTTGCCTGAGCCATGCAGCCACGGCTTCTGACAGACAGAGTCCAAAGCTCAAACAAAGTCAAGCGCGCTCCCATCGAGGCACTTGGAGAATGGGCTTACTCATCCAAATGCCCGCCGCGGGCCAAGCCCAACCCCAGCCCAGCCGCGAGGGCTTCCCGGCCCGGTCCGAGGCGAATTTCCCCGCCAGGAAACTTGTTGCCGCCAAGTATGTGAGATCTATT